TTAAAAGCAGTTTCAAGTGCTTATTGAGCAGGTTTAAACACCTCTTTGCTAATATATATTTTCTTCTTTGTAGAGTAACTCTATGAAGCCGACATCAGCTGGATAATTCAGCAAGTTCCCAACCTCAGAGAAGGAAATTTCATCTGGAACAACCTGGAAAATCAGAATTGCGAAACAGAAAGTTGGGGCAATAGTATCACATCCCACTTCTGCACATAAGATCGCAGCTACTCGCATCAACAGTAGTAAAACATTCTTTGACCTTTTTAGCTGTTTCTCATTATCTATGTGATATTTAGTCAGTGTTACACTTACTACTTTTTAGTGTTTATAAGACAAAAGCAGAGCAGTGTTACTGCTGTTGTAACAACAGCCATGGCAACCATATAACAGCCCATATACAGTAGATTTTTTTTTTTTTCTGACTTTCGGTCAATAGGAAACTGGAACAATATCATCTCAGAGATTACACAACTCTGACTTCCCAGCTTGGAGTTCCAAGGTTAATAGCATTATAACCAGCCAAACCTCTAATGGATACGATTTATCCTAAAAAATTGCTAAGTCAGTTTTATGAAGACATTCTAAAGCTTAGGTTTTGAAAATAAAGATCTCTGACTTTTAAAAGAAAAATACGTAAGAAACAGACTATCAGGTTCTTTTGGAGTTTATATACATGTATTGTTTGAAAACACATTAAAATCCACCACAAAAAAAATAGAAAAATAGTTGTGGCTCCAGAGCCCTAGATCAGGTAAACTTTTTAATCAGTTAGTTATTCAATAAATCATCACCAGACGATTAAAAGAAGACAATAACAAAATATTACATACAACTAGGCCCAATGTATCCATACCTATAAATGATTCAAGCTTCAAGTATTCAGTTTATTTAAACAATATGCTGGTCATAATATAACATAGAAGTAGTAACATCTTGAAACAACCATGCCAGAGAATGTGTAGACAGAGCTAAAGATTAGGGTGATGGCAGGGAGGACAATAAGCTGAAAAGACTTTAAACTTACCAAGTAAGATAGATAATCAAAGTACCAGTGGAGACATGCTTAGGGCTGCTCAATAAGAAGGGTTTAATTATGGTAATATCAATAAAGACTATATAGTTGATTAATGAGAAGGGTAACACTAATTGTTTTAGTTTTTTTTTTTAAAAAATGAATATAAACAAATAAAAAAAAGAAGAAAATTAAATAAGAAATTCTTAATATCTGTACTCCTTTTTAAGCATGATTCGTTCTTTTTTTTTTAAAAATCTGAAACCAAATCCTTGGTTGAATGAAAGTGATTTTATCACTAAAACTGCCAAGGATTTTAAAAAGTTTAACTCTAAACTTTATATTAATATTCCCAAAAGTTATCAAAAAAATGTCTGGAAAACCTAACCAGACAAACTTCAAGATCCAAAAAATATCATGCATGTCAATGAATCAATTGTCCAATAAACAAATCAGCAAACTTCTAAAGATGTTGACTCCAGGATATTTCAGTCTAGTTTATCATTAAATTAAGATCTAAGACCATATTTATGGCAGATTTTCACTAAGAGACAAAAACCTTGGCCAAAAATAGACAAGGGTTATTTGAGTTATATCATTGTTTGTTGGTTTTCTTCTACTGGTGATAACTGGATTTTACAGAAATTTACAACATAGATTTGAATGGCTCCCAAGTTCAAATGTGGAAAATCACTGACCAGATATATAATCTTTAAAGCGACATTCAATGCCTTTCCTATTTGTAGTCAGTCTAACAGGTCTGATTATCAACAACACATTATTTAAGTTCAATTTAACAAGTAAGACCAAGCAATGCAATCAGCATCAATCGAGAATGTTCACCTTATAAAAATGTGATAAGCACATGAAACTCTTAAGAAAACACATCAATGAAATTAAACCATCCTTCCTAAAAAAACCTGTCGCTGATCCAAATTATTTAAGGTCTAGGTTACTTACCCAGATAGAGTCCATGACAAGAGACCTGAGTGTAAAAGAGCTTTGCATTGAAGAAATATGAAAAATAAATATCGAAAAATTGAGGTTATCTAGTCATCACTGCGATAACCCACTGTGTCAACTAAAAGAACGCTGCATTCTGACTAATGCATCAGATTTCCTGACTCTGACTCAAATAAAGTGTCAAAGAAGGACTGTTGTGTTTTTTTTTTTTTGTATATTTGTGGGTCAGGACTGTCACTTCTATTGGAGAGAAGTGGTGCGAAAAACAGGAAACATAATGAGATCACTCACCAACCCCCTCCCCCCTACACACACATTATGACACACAGACATATACACACATCAGTGTTAGCGTCGACACACCAGTTTCTACAACCAGTGGCTTCTCACGATTCCAGCGAACTTTTAGTTCTTGACACAAAGAGGAATCAGTTTGAAAAGGTTCACAAAGATCATCTTAGAAGAAGTTTAAAGGGGAGAAATACACAATGGGGAACCTTAGCAACCTCAGTGCAGATCAGTTTCCTAGGAAGAAGATATTTTAAAGTATATTGTTTGATTTTATACACTTTTCTAAGATCCACATTGATGTGACCACTTTTGCTATAATCTTTTTGCTGCAGTAAAACCAGAATTTCCCCATTGTGGGACAATAAATTGATTTTCTATTCTATTCCATTCTAATAAAAATAAGCCAAAACTGATGTGCAGATTTAGATAATTACTCAAGAGACTGATTGTCAGGGTTCAACTTTCATTGTAGAGATTTCCAACCACATATGCGTCTGCGTCACGAGGTAAAATATTCATTGTAGGGCTTTTTTCAAGGGAGCTCTCTGACCACAGGTATGACTTTACCCGTTCCTCTTTTTTATATTCCCCTACTATGTGAACTGTGGGCAGTGATGGTTCACTGGTTGGTTTATAGGTTCCTTTAACCAGCTTCTGCTTCAGAGGACATTTCCTAACCTGAGAGGAAACTTTGGCTATGAAGTTTAGCAAAATTTCACAGCTGAACCATAATTGGTCTGGACAGAAATAGTAAATGTCGAGAGCAAAAGTGAACCTGCTATTAAAAATAGGTAATGAAGTAAATTCTTTTGGACGTAAATATAATTATGTTAAAATAATTAATCATTGTAAATTTGTAATTCTAAATATAAAAAAAAAACTGGTTGTGTTTTAGTTAAGTAGCAGTCTTCTTATTTTTAAAGGTTGAACATACTAGCTGAGGCACATGGCACAACTGGATCTTTCTTTTACTACTACTCTCCTAACTGCCGATTACACATGAAATTTACACACAACTGAAACAATGCAGTTCGCACATCTCAGGAATTGAATAGAACTTTATTGATCTCACATTGGAGAAATGTACCTCTGCATTTAACCCATCCGCTTGGGGAGCAGTGGGCTGCACTTGTGCGGCGCCCAGGGAGCAGTGTGGGGTTAAGGGTCTTTGCTTAGAGACACAGAGTGGCAGTCTGTGGGAGTGGGGCTTGAACTCAGAACCTCTGGATTCCAAGCTCTATGCCCTAACCACTGGGATGCCACTCCCCCAGTTGGAAACACAATCTTTATTTATTTTAATTTGAATTTAGCACCTCTTATTATGAAGGTTTGAAGATCACACCCTAAATACACAAACATTACACTACTTTGGTGAAACAAATAAAAAAGTCTGTGAAAAAATGATCCTGTAAATCACTCTATGTTGAAACAGAAAACAAGAGCCTAAAACTTTTGCCATTTTAAAAGACAGGCAGTCCGTTTACTCATTTCTGCTTCAGTATAAAAAATAAATAAATAAATAAATAAATACTTGCTGTATTTAGATTAATGATCCTGTGGGCTTAAATTGAAATTTCAGTGACACTCACTGTATGTTGCTGGTCAGGATTACTATCAGTCTAAAGTGAAATTATAAAATAGCAATTTTCAACCTATCCTGGGCCCCAAATTTTTTCACCATTCATAGAATGTGGCCAGGGCCACATATTCATTCTAAGGGCCATAAATGGCCTCTATGACAAGTGTTGGTCACCTATGATAAAAAAAAAAAGGTCTACCATATCGGGCGACGCCTAGTTATCAATACGATTTTAAAAAGTGACAGTTTACCCATTGAAATTATATATATATTAGTACCTGTAACCAAGCAACTACAGGTGCAACTACAGGTGCTTGGTTCCAGGTACTTAGACTCAGTTCCATACAGAAAACTCATATTCTTATCTTTAGCTACCACAGTATACATGACAGATTAAATAATACTACTTATACGTCAGCACTAGTATCTAGCATAGGTAGTTACTTTATTGTATGTCTCGTACGATGTCCGTTGGTTTTGCTGTTCTTTTTACATCTTTGCAAGTGATGAAGCAGACTGAATTTTTTTTTTTTCATTATCTCCCTCTTATCTCCTCTTTCTTTCATCTTTTTTCTGTTTTTCCTTTCCAGTTCTACTTAAATGGCAATGTCCATATAATCTGTAAAACTCCCTGCATGAATTATAATAAAGCAATTTATGTGCATAAATCAAGCGTAACACTAAGGCGATAGCCGTACTGCTCCACTTGTAAAAGTAAAATCTGCTGGGCTCTTTTTGGCATCAAGACAATTGTTCTAAGTACCACAGTGCTAGACAGGACATTGTTAAAAAAATGAAAAAAATTAAATAAAATAAAAAAATTTAAATGGCAATTTTCAACTTATCCTGGGGGGCCCAAATTTTGTACCATTCATTGTATTTGGTTAGGGCCACATGTTCATTCTAAGGGCCTCTATGACAAATGTTGGTCACCTATAATCAATATATATATATACATATATATATATATAAGTATATAATAGTGATTTTCATATAAATGCTCCTATGCCATTAATTGCAATCCATTTAGCATTTTTTCCCCTTGTCAATACTGCAATCAGTAGGTTATTTCTGAATGATTCTACTGTTTGTTGTGACGGAGTGCTACATGTTATAGCGTCCGGGATGGTTGCTGTTGGCTTCTGCTGGATAAACACGCATTAAAAACACCGCAACATTTTTCACCTGGCATGCAGTGCACCGTAAACGCCAACACGGCGAGCTGTGCGGTTAAACAAACATCCAGAGCAACATGAGCAGATTTCCTTTCTGCTGCCGCTGCTAGTGAGCCTCGCAGCAGCACCCAGAAGTGAACAAAGCGACCCGGAAGCGGTGGTCCGACTGGAAGCAGAACATCAAGCTTTTATATTATAGCTCTTCTCGCAGGACAATAATCTGCAGCCTGGAACACAAGGTATTTGTGCATGTCTTATTTTTTCCCTCCGCTAAAGCGTTTGTTCTCACGGAGGATCGCGTCCCGGATCCGTTGCAAATGTGCACAGAAATGTGATTACCCTGTTTGGATTCGCCCAAAAGTTACAAAATGAGGAGAGGAAATGTGAAAATGTGTAAACGCGGCTAAGCGTTCCTCGGGTTGTTTGTTAATGTGCACATGAAAGGCACCAATGTTTGTCTTTGAATCGGCGCGATGAGTCCAGCTTCTCCGTTTCCGTGCTGTTTTTTTTTTTTTTTTTGCAGGGCATGGTTGTTGTAGGAAGTGTCAGTTTTTTTAAGAGGTGAGGAGGCCGGGCTTTTCAAACCTGCTATTCACCGTAAACAATCATTCACGCCTTTGACATGATAAACACACCTTTGTGTACTGCTCCTTTTTTTTTTTTTTTTTTTTTTTAAAAAGGACTAAAATCTCCCGCACGTTCTAAATAAAAAAGAAATTGGGGGTCTGCAGAATATGGCGTCCCGCCTTATAAAAATAAGGCTGCCATTTTTGTTTCTCTTTTGTCTGGAAATGTTTTAAGAAAACTGTCTGAGAATGTCTCGGTAGAAGTGGGAGGGGGGGAACAGTCCTCCCCAGTCAGTCCGAGTCCGGAGCTGCTCTCCGGGCGGACAGAATGTCCGAAAAGTCCGAGAAGGCAAAGTTTACTTTGGTTCAGTCGAGCTTTTAAAGCGACGGACGCTTTTTAGTTTCCACAGATTCAGACAATAGGAGCCGAGGACAGCTGCAAGCTAACGGCTACGGTTCCTTGAGTCTTTTTATAGGTGTCCACACATTCTCAGCTGACATTTAGATGCGGAGCTGTGCAAATGTAAATGTGCTGGTTTGGTTTTAAAAAGCCTGCAGGCCCAGCTCACACGCAGACATGCCCGTGCTTATTACATAGTTGTACCTTTTTATTACCAGGTTATAAGTACTTTATTTTTTACATTGATGATATTTGCGCCAAAATAGCAGTGAATTAAGTAAATAAATCAGTAAATTCAATATTTATTAACTTATTTTTTTCCCCACATCCATCATCCAGGTCGTTTTCCTTTTCTATAGCGCCAATTTACAACACAGGTCATCTCAAGGCACTTTACAGTTCACCAGATCATCCAGTCAAATTGATTCAAAGTTTTCTATCTAAGGAAAGCCAGTTGATTGCATCAATTCCTTGACTCAAAGTCAACCCCTCACACTAAGCATGCATCTAGTGACAGTGGAGAGCAAAAACTCCCTTTTAACAGGAAGAAACCTCCAGCAGAACCAGGCTCTGTGCGAGTGGCCATCTGCCGAGGCCGACTGGGGTTCATGGAGACAGAAGCAGACATACAAAAAGCAACCGTAAAAATCGGCCCTGTCCAGGAAACACACAGCCAGGCAGATGAATTCCGAGCCAACTCCTATGTCAGAGGATGAAGAGAGCACATCCAGCCAGTGACAGAAACAGGACTACACTGGAAAAACAGGCTGATCTCCAACATCTATAGACAAAGGTGTTGATGGCAGCAGCACAGCTGATATTTCTCTCCAGGGTGGTGTCACAGCCAAACGGGAACAGACGAGGTGAAGCTACTATGAGAAAAATCAGAGAGAGCATAACATTAGAGTTAATCTAACAGATTCTGCAGAGTGGGAGAATAGAGATAGAATGAAGAAAACTGATGAAATAGGGGTCCCTATGTCCTCCAGCAGTCTAAGTCTTTAGCAGCATAACTATAGAGATAGCTCAGGGTAACCTGTGCCACTCTAACTATAACCTTTATCAAATAGGAAGGTTTTAAGCCTACCGTTAAAAGTAGAGAGGGTGTCTGCCTCATGGACTAAAACTGATATTTGGTTTCATAAGGGAAAAAAAGGAAAACACTGTTAATGTTCTAATCTATATACTGCTTTGCAAAAGTATTTGCGCCCCTTAAATATTTTCACATTTTCCACAACCCTTAGTGCCCTCTGCATGATATATCGACACGGCACCTTTTAGTTGTTCTCCTACCTCATTACATCTTATTCGAATACCTGAATTAGGTCTTTGGGACAGATGACATGCTGAGGAGTTTCGTTCACAAAACAAGGTCAAATCAGAGGCAAATCTTTGTTAATTCTGTCAGATTGAAGTCTTGTTTTGTGGTTGCTGTGACACAGAAAACATTCAATGATTAGGTGTCATCCTTTTGATCTGAACCACTCTGTTGTACACTACCGTTCAAAAGTTTGGGGTCACATTGAAATGTCCTTATTTTTGAAGGAAAAGCACTGTATTTTTCAATTAAGATAACTTTAAACTAGTCTTAACTTTAAAGAATTCTAGCTGCAAATGTCTGGTTTTTGGTGCAATATCTACACAGGTGTATAGAGGCCCATTTCCAGCAACTATCACTCCAGTGTTTTAATGGTTCAATGTGTTTGCTCATTGGTTCAGAAGGCTAATTGATGATTAGAAAACCCTTGAGCGATCATGTTCACACATCTGAAAACAGTTTAGCTTGTTACAGAAGCTACAAAACGGACCTTCCTTTGAGCAGGTTGAGTTTCTGGAGCATCACATTTGTGGGGTCAATTAAAGGCTCAAAATGGCCAGCAAAAGAGAACTTTCATCTGAAACTCGTCAGTATATTCTTGCCTTTAGAAATGAATTCTATTCCATGCGAGAAATTGCTAAATAATTGAAGATTTCCTACAATGGTGTGCACTACTCCCTTTAGAGGACAGCACAAACAGGCTCTAACCAGAGTAGAAAAAGAAGTGGGAGGCCGTGTTGCACAACTGAGCAAGAAGATAAGTACATTAGAGTCTCTAGTTTGAGAAACAGACGCCTCACAGGTCCCCAACTGGCATCTTCATTAAATAGTACCCGCAAAACACCATGGTCAACATCTACAGTGAAGAGGCGGCTGCGGGATTTTGGGCTTCAGGGCAGAGTGGTAAAGAAAAAGCCATATCTGAGACTGGCCAATAAAAGAAAATAATTTTTTAATGTCTTAAAAAATCTTTAAGTAACCTTTGGCTATCTGATTATTAAACGATTAATCGAAAAAATAATCCTTAGTTGCAGCCCTTTTAAAGTCCCTTGCATTCTTAGGTCTTCTTCCAGATTAGCGCTGTATTTAGCTACACCCGTCTCCCATCAACTGATTAGAAAGAAAGAAAACCCCTACAGCATAATGCTGCCACCACTGTGTTTCAGGGTGAAGATGGTGTGTTTAGAGTGATATATCATATAATTCTTACAACACATATAAGTGGCCTTCATGACTTTTCCCTGATCTTCGCAGGGCAGCTTTTTTACACACGTTAGCTGTGTCTCCCTCATAGCTTTTAGCAAACCACAAAACTTTTGTTCCTGCTTTTTAATTAAGTTTCAGTTTTGGAGTGCACATATATTTTTGTCCCTGAGCTGTGGATCTCTGTAGCTCTTCCAGAGTGACTTGGTTAAAGCTTTGGTTATCGCTTTCTACTATTCCACAGCTTTTTTCCCCTCTAACCTATATGTCGATGTCCCTTAGTATTAATGGTGTTGTGTGTTAACTGACGTTCTGTTACTGAGAAAGTTCAAAAACTGAAAAAGTTCAAAATGTATGAATACAAAGCACTCAGTAAGATTTTACAGATAATACAGTCATCCCTTATTTGTTGTATTTGATTTGATTGATTTTGGTTTTTGGGGATTTTTTTATTTTATTTTTTAAGAATAGTTCTGTAGTAAAACTTCATCAGGTTTTCTTTGATTTCACTCGTCCATTTCCAGAGGATAGTTTTCTGTTGCTGACAACCAACCCTGACCTATGAATCATCCAAACATGAAAGGGCATGGTCAGAATTACTGACACTTGACAGGTAACAGTCTAACACTGTTTTACAACTTTTTTTTAGCTTGAGAAGAGAACTTTCATCTGAAACTCGACAGTCTATTCTTCTCTTAGAAATGAAGGCTATTCCCTGGGAGAAATTGCTAAGAAATTGAAGATTTCCTACAACGGTGTATACTACTACCTTCAGAAACAGGCTCTAACCAGAGTAGAAAAAGAAGTGGGAGGCCGCGTTGCACAACTGAGCAAGAAGATAAGTACATTAGAGTCTCTAGTTTGAGAAACAGACTCCTCACAGGTCCCCAACTGGCATCTTCATTAAATAGTACCCGCAAAACACCAGTGTCAACATCTACAGTGAAGAGGCAGCTGCGGGATTCAGGGCAGAGTGGCAAAGACACCGCCATATCTGAGACTGGCCAATAAAAGAAAAAGATTAAGATAGGAAAAATAACACAGACATTGGACAGAGGAAGACAGGAAAAAAGTGTTGTGGGCGGATGAATCCAAGTTTGAGGTGTTTGGATTACAAAGAAGAACGTTTGTGAGACACAGAACAAATGAAAACATGGTGGAAGAATGCCCGACGCCATCTGTTAAGCATGGTGGAGGTAATGTGATGGTCTGGGGTTGCTTTGGTGCTGGTAAGGTGGGAGATTTATACAGGGTAAAAGGGATTCTGAATAAGGAAGGCTATCACTCCATTTTGCAACGTCATACCATACCCAGTGGACAGCGCTTGATTGGAGCCAATTTCATCCTAAAACACGACAATGACCCTAAACACACCTCCAAATTGTGCAAGAACTATTTAGAGCAGAAGCAGGCAGCTGGTATTCTATCGGTAATGGAGTTGCCAGCGCAGTCACCGGATCTGAACCCTGTTGAGCTGTTGTGGGAGCAGCTTGACTGTATGGTACGCAAGAAGTGCCCCTCCAACCACGCTTCTGGAAGCGTGGGGTGCAATTTTTCCAGATTACCTCAACAAATTAACAGCTAGAATGCCAAAGGTCTGCAATGCTGTAATTGCTGCAAATGGAGAATTCTTTGACGAAAGCAAAGTTTGATGTAAAAAAAAAAAATAAAAATCTTATTTCAAAAACAAATCATTATTTCTAACCTTGTCAATGTCTTGACTCTATTTTCTATTAATTTCACAATGAATGGTGGTGAATAAGTGTGACTTTTCTTGAAAACACAAAATTGTTTGGGTGACCCTAAACTTTTGAACGGTAGTGTGTGTGTGTGTATATATATATATATATATATATATATATATATATATATATATATATATATATATATATATAATTTTACCTGGATACAGGTAACGATGCCGTAGCCAGTATCAAACATTTACAGGTTAAATTTTAGATGTGCCACTTGCCCTTCTCACCTGCGGTAGTAGCTGGCAGTCAAGCTATGCAGAGCTCTGCTAATGAGCTGGTATTTCATTTAGGTGTTTTGAAGTAAAGTTGTTGTTAACAGCAGCAGAAAACTAAAGATCCTCTGGAGACTCTAATAAACTAACTGCTCTAATATAAAGCGAAAAGGCCCAAGCAGTCGTTTAAATGAGAAACTTCACCACATTGATGTTTGACCCACACATATACCGCACAAAAAGGAAGTGAGTTCTTTCATTCACTTTGGCCACTTCCTGATTTTTTTTTTTCTTTTCATTTATATCTCTGAAGTCAAAACTAAGATGTTAAAAAAACATTATAATCAATCAACCATGTTCCAGTTTTAGGTGTGGAAACTAGAGGAATTTACCAAATCCTAAACTTTTACAGAACCAGGCTCAGTGTGAGCGGCCATCTGCCCAGTTGGCCTGGGCAGATGGCCGCTCACACTGAGCCTGCTTCTGCAGGTTTCTTCCTGTTAAAAGGGAGTTTTTCCTCTCCACTGTTGCTACAATCATGTTTAGTGTGAGGGATTGCATCCGAGTCAATGAGTCGATGCCATCAACTGGTTTTGCTTAGATAGAAAACTTTGAATCAATGACTGTATGATCTGGTTTAACTGTAAAGTGCCTTGAGATGACGTGTTGTGAATTGGCGCTATATAAATAAACTGAATTGTACTGAATTGAACTTGACAACCAGGCCTGTTACTTTAGTAAACAAAAGCTAAGAAATATTGAGTTCTATTCTTATATACTCTCAGAAACTATAGGGAACATGTTTGCTATTGTAGGTTTTACACTTATTAAAGGTATAGTTGAAGATTTTCGCTATTTTTTTAAAAGACACACCCTCTCCACTCTCCACAAAAATGCACATGCACAACCCTGTACCTGCTGCCGAGAGGTAACGCCTATTAAACGCATGCGAGAGCGTGCACAAGCCCATTTCTCCTCGTGCATATATTCTGTTTAAAACTTGCTGTTTGCATCGCTCATACAAGATTACTTTCCACAAGAGGATTTGCAATTTTTCCGCTATGTCAGACTCACCACCGGTGTGTCTAAATGGGGACGAGCACGTAGAGGGGCCTTACGTAAACATATCACCAGAATGATTGACAGTTAGGACGACCACTTATTTGATGATCCACCCAGGATGAACCTCCACTATATCTTTAATGCAGGTGAATGATATAATTACACAAAATCTAATAGAATTCCATATAAACTATTGTAGCACTGTGTCAATGGCATCCTCATTGGATTTTGGAACACGGTTTGGTGAAAAAAAAGTTCCTATTTAGCTGCGCTTTGTCTTTATACCTGCCCTACACCCCAATCCCTAAATTGCGAGCTTGAATTTTTTTGTTCAAACATGCAGTATGAATAGATATTGAAAAGATTGAAAGTATTTATTAGTGACAATACACAGTAATAAGAAAAAGTTAAATTCCCATTAGGTGTCAGTTACAACCAAAAGCTATACCACCACCGTTCTAATGGGTTAACTTTAAGAGACAACCAAGATAACACTTTTTGACTCATATAAATGTTTTAGTAGCAACAAGGTGATTTCCAAAGAGTTATTTGCTTAATATCTGTCATACAGCAGATGATTGAAAGAATGATGCATTTCTCTTCTCTTCATTTTATAGCCTGTAAGAAAGTGTTGCTGCTTGATATTGTTTTAAAATACTGCAGGAAAATCTGGCTGATCACATCGAAAGTACAAAAAATTTGTGTCATCGCTCTTTCCTTTTTTCCAACAAAGGAAAGGAAATTCTGGGTTTTGATTTTGCTGTTTTTTAGATCTGGACAAGTGTGGAAGTGTATCTAATGTTTTAGCTATTTGGAAAGTTCTTCTTAAAAGTATTTAAAGCAAATAAAAACAATGAATATCATTCAGCAAAGAGACGTACAGTCAAGGAAAAAAAGCAGACCACCCTTGTTTTCTTTTATTTTTCATTGCATTACTTGGGTAATATACCCATTGGAACTACACATTAAAAGAAAATTATGCGTTCAAATAATTTTTTCAATGATTACATGTAGCTTGTATAAAATGGAAGATTAAAGATAAGTGTGTTTCTGTTGCATTTGTTTAGTTGATTATCGTCGACGTTTTTGTTTTGTTCTTTCTTAATTTTTACTTTTTTTGCTCACTAATTACCACTTTTTTTAATATTGCCGGAACGTGTCTTACTTGTTTCAGGATGGCAGAGCCTCGGTTTAACAACCCTTATTTCTGGCCCCCGCCCCCCTCCATGCCCGGCCAGGTATGTCCACCCACAACACATAAGATCGACAGAGTTTCCACCCTAAATGCCAGATCTGTGTCCATGTGTGAATGTCTTTTCCAGCCTTCACCAATAAACAAATCACGGGTTGCTGTATTAGCTATATTAGAAACGAAGCCCTTTGGTTAATGTGTTGTTTTTTGGTGAGGGTCTCAATCGACCTTCATACACGGCTGCTGTTTTCTGTTGAGCATGACCCGTTAACCCTTTCAGCTGGATAACCTGGTCCTCATTAACAAGATAAAGGAGCAGCTGATGGCGGAGAAGATTAGACCTCTGCACCTGCCGCCCACCTCCACCCCCTCTCAGCAGCCTCTGCTGGCCCCCACCTCGTCCCCAGACGGTGGCGGTCCACACGGGATGCCAGGGCCAAAACCTCAGCAGCAGCAGGTGCCGGGCCACCACTCGCAGCAGCAGGGCTCCGGGCAGCCGGACATCGCTCTGCATGCTCGTCCTACCTCCAGCTCCGGATTAGGTATTGTTTTCCGTTTTTTTTTTTAAATGACCAGTGGCTGTTGGTCAGTGTCAGCTGATAGGTCTAAATGAAAATAAAAGGGCCCCCTTTCAGAAAGTGGTACAATTATTCTGAGTAGAGAGCAGTTATTCTGAGTCGACCTATTCAGCTCTGCGACATTCGGGACTTTTGCTCTCAGAACAGGTGCTATCAATAAGCTAAGTTGACTCTGAGTTAAGTCAGCCTTTAATTCAGGGTAAGAACAAGCATAATAAGAAGCCCTTAATAGTGGAACCCTAAAAACACGATCCACCGTGGAAAGTAGCAGCCTCAAATTGAGCATTTCTGGCCAATGGAACTTAAAAAAAAAACTGACACAGTAATGAGATTACCAAAAGATATTTCACACAAAAAGGCAACGTTGCTCCTGCTGCAAAATAAGGAGATATTGGCAGTGGCAGAAACCAGACAACGCATGAGGGAGATTTAATGGAGAATTAATGTTACATTCTATACACGCTTTTAACATGAAAAACATTATGCGAAATGTTGAACTTTTACCAACAGAATTACACAACATTTGTTGTATTTACCAGTGCACTTAATCTTATATAAGTATGTTAACTTAGTGACTTGACATGAAAAAGAGCAGAGATGCAGCTGAAATGAATGTTTTTCTGTGCCTAAAGCTCCCCTGTGAAATAGCTCTACAAGACGACATAGAAACAATTTAACAAATAGTTATGTTTGATAGCAAAAGCTGGGACTGTTTGCAGACTAATGCTGCTGAAATTTCTCTTAACTTTCAGATGGAAATCTGGATGACAAGTCATCAGTAAAGGCCAAAGGATTATGGGAGGACTGGCATATGAGACAACTTAGTGAGCAATCCGCCCGGGTCAACCATCGTTCAGGTGCTACAGCCACTACAGTCCAGCACCATGTTTCACATCCATTGGAAAGTGCTAATGCAGTTCTGGCTCTCACCTCCTCAGGTCTGGCTCCCTCATCTCGACCCGACAACCACAGCACCTCAGAGGCCCTGACCCCCACCACTCCAACTTCAAGCAGCCAGAACCGTTTGGGTGGTGCTCCCTCTGTCAACATCATTTCTGGGCTAGCTAGTGGTCCTGGCATGGACCATATGAAGAGTGGGGGTCTAGCAGGACTCCTGGGCCCCCCACCAAAGGCGACGAGAGGAAGAAAGAAGATTAAAGCTGAAAACGCATCTGGTCCTCTGCTGGTGGTGCCCTACCCAATCCTGGCTGACCAAGGCTGCGTCACCGTGGCGCCTAAAGAGGGCAAAACCTACAGGTTAGACAACTACAGTAAAGCTGTTCTTCTTTGGAAGCAGGTCTTTTTCTACTGATGCTACATAAATAAACTATAGGTATGAATGAAGGGAGAAGCTGCTGTAGAACTTCTCTACTGTGTGTTTAGATGTGTTAAAAAGAGGGAATAATGGATGAAACTAGATCTAACCCCTCCTATAATACTCCTTTAAGGCTGAAGCCACAATTTATGAATTGATGTTTCAACAAATCCTTGCATTAAATACAGAATGAATGTGAAACATCTCAGACTCTGTGTTAGGCTTAGTCATAATAACACTTGCACCACAGTGTTAGGTTTAGTTTCCTTATGTCTGACACCTTTTTTTTTCTATACATCTTACTGTTAAGGTGCAAAGTTTGCCCGCTCACCTTTTTGACCAAGTCAGAGATGCAGATTCATTCCAAGTCCCACACAGAGGCCAAACCACATAAGTGTCCCCACTGCTCCAAGACGTTCGCCAACGCCTCCTACCTGTCCCAGCACCTGCGCATCCACCTCGGGATCAAACCCTATCACTGCTCCTACTGCGAGAACTCTTTCCGCCAGCTGTCGCACCTGCAGCAGCACACCAGGTTTGCATCAACGCCAGAGGAAAAAAACCCTGCAGACATTGTCTAGAAATGTTTTTACACATGACAAATATTTGTGTCATTTTCCATAGATTTAAAGTAGGGCTGCAAAAAAGCAATTATTTTGCTAATTCATTAATCAGATTTTTTTCTTTTTTGATGAAACTGTAAATAATTGAATAGCAAAAAAAAAGCCTTAAGGAAGCTTTTAAAGCATTTGAGGCTAAAACTATGCCGCTTGAGGAGTTCTGGGCAGAACATACTCAGACAAAAAAAAAAAGGTTTTTACAGCAGTGCTGCTGTGCAATACTTTAAGCCTTTGTAAGCCAATATTGGATGTGGTGATGCTAAAAAGCTTTAATGTTTACTGACTTCAGAAACATAATTCCACAGCAGATAATAGGACTGTTACCTATAATAACTTCTCCAAATCACATTTAAAAAGATCAAAACCATCCCTGGTATAACCTCAGGAGTGTCGGTGGCTTTTTTCCCCACACTGATTTGTATTAAATCAATGCATTTAACTGCCTATAGTGAGAATCTGAGGTTCTACAGTATAAAGTCTGTTGCTAATTAAATTTGGTCTATTTAAAAGCATTTTAATGAAACTTTTTTTGTCTAAGACATGTCTTTCCTTCAAATATATTTAAATAGATTGGTTATGATCATCACCCTTTAGCAGTTAGAACTGACCTGGACTGGGAATGGCTGTCTCTGATGGTTTAGCTGCAATCGCCACAATCTTACAATGTTTTATGCATTTCATTTGTTACAGAATCCACACTGGTGATCGGCCTTATAAATGTGCTCATCCTGGATGTGAAAAGGCTTTCACTCAGTTGTCTAACCTCCAGGTGAGTCTTTCTGTTCACAGTGCAGAGGGGAGTGGAAAAAAAATAAAATAAATATATATATATATTAGTGCTGTCAAAATTATCGCGTTATCGCGTTAACGCGAGGCCATTTTAACGGCGATAATTTTTTTAACGTGAGATTAACGCTATGTGGTTTTATGGTAAAATTTTGCAAGTACATCCCGCTGCAGCCTGCGGGAAGGCGGAGCTATTTTCCCCCAGTGTATGCATTTCTCATAGGCTTCAAGAGCGGAGCTCCTCAAGGAAAAAAGACGCTCATACACTGGGTGACGCTAGTGCCTTTTCTTTAAGCCCCACCACCAACAAACAAGTTGAGTGTCTGGTAACTAGTAGCAACCTGAAATACGCTGAGAAAACAGATTACTGAGGGGAAATGGAATCTGCTACGGCACTCTTGCTGTCACAGGTCGGTATCGTGTGTGTGTGTGGGTGGGTGTGTCTGTGTGTGGGTGGGTGGGTGCTTGTGTGTGTGTTCTCATTTTTGTTAAGAGTCTGAAAAGTAACTTTCATAGACTACCTCCATCTAGTGATGTCGGTCTATTGATTTTGATGTATTGATTGAAAATTGTTCATTATTACCTTGGTTAATTAACATTAATGTTAACTGTACTACATTTTATAGCAGCAGGGTAAAATGCTTGTCTTTGTTCAAAAGACTGTATTAACTGTAAAGACTGTCTTTTACATCAGCCTGTTTTCAGGGCCTTTTTTTGGCTACATATTTGTTATTTTTTGCTACATGCCTCTCCATCTTCTTGCCATATGTTTCTATGGCATAAATCAGTATCTGTGACCTGTTCTCATTTAAAAAAAAGAACATTGGCACAAACCTAGCCTGTATGTATTTTTTGTATGTCATCGAGAGTATTTAAATGATTTTCAATCAGAAAAAAAATTTGCGATTAAAATGCGATTAATCGCGAGTTAACTCAGGCATTGATGCGATTAATCGCGATTAAAAAAATTTAATCGATTGACAGCACTAATATATATATATATATATATATGCAAAGTGTGGCTAGATGACTTAATGTAAAATAATCAGTTCCAAGCATTGAAAGTAAAATATTGATCTGAACTGATTTAAATGTATCCAGATGCAAAGAAACAATGAGATAGTCCTTTGCCAGTTAAAAATCAGTGGGGTCCGAATAAAGAAAGTCATCAACCAGTAAAGGTCCAGAGACATTTTTAATTATAATCCGTTACTTTAAACAGAACTTAACACTGAAATAAAATGCAGGTGAATTAGAGAAGAACAATATTTTATTTTGGTATACAGACAATTTCCTGACTCACTTTTTTTTTTTATAAACACCTGAACTGACCGTTTTTTTATTTATTTTTTATTCCTTTCTTTTTTTTTTATGGCTTCATTTTGAGCCTGGATCGATATTTATTTTTTAATATATTCATTGTTGAGAATCCTGCCTTACAGCAGTAGGTTGACATACTCTAAATGTGCAGGATCGTTTTTGAGCTCACCATTATATATCATATAATACCATACAAACACGAGAAGCGGCGCAAGTCACGTTTAGACACTGTCGTCGAACAACACGCAGTTATTTATAAATGTTTTAAATCAGGTTGTGTCTGGATTTGCCAGCAGGTGGTCCGCTAATCAGCGATCTTTGCACTAGACATTCAAACACCCATTTAAAATGGCGTAACCAATATATAGTAGGGCTGGGCGATAATTCAATAACGATATATATCGATCGATAGACGTGTGGCGCAATAGAAAAAAAAGAGGGTCGATAAAAGTTCGATAAAGAAACGCAGTTTTCCTTCCTTCTCATTGTAGCCTATCATGTAGGTTTATGCTAGTCACTACTTCTTCCCAACCAATCACAATCGCGGACCCAGGCACGCCGTCACAAAGCGCCGCCCTCTCAAACCACAACACAGAGCACATGAAGATGTCGCAGCAGGGAGAGGTGGAGGACATTGTTCCAAAGAAGGGTTTTTGTAGTTTGGCAGTATTTCCTTTACGACAAAACACAAACCACAGTCATCTGTAAAATCTGAAGGGAACCAGTGAAAACGAAGTCTTTTTTTTTTTTATCCTCTCAGCCGCTCACACCCGCAGGAGTACGAGCTGTGTAGGCCCCGGCGCGGCTCTCCTCCGAGGAATCTTTGGGAATTTCGGGAAAATATATATGTATTTTCAGTTCTGGTCAGTTTCCCACATAGTTCTAACGATTGAGAGAAAAATGCTGAGAGGCCATCAACTGTAAAGTAATAACTCAGGTTAAAGCAGGAAACTAAGCTGAACCATTACAAGGTGCCAGCATTTTTTAAATGGCAATTTTAAAACTGAGGACTACAACAGAGAACATGTCTGTTAAACCATACAGCATTCTAGGAGGGGAGCCTCATATGGTTTGTGACCTGACCAACTTATTATTACTGAATGCAGGGAGAAAAATGTGAGACCATTCTTTGAAAGAAAAAAAAAAGATATAAAGTAGAACTGGATCCAGCCAGTGGCCATGACCCAAAATTTACACACAAGCCTACCTTGGACTGGCTGGGAATTAAGAACTGAAAAGTCAGTTAGAGATCTGGGTCAGATCAGCGTCGCTGAGGTGCTTCGGAGTGACTCAACACAGGCTGTGGGCAGGAAACCCCTCACATATGTGAAAGTGAGGAGTGGGACAAACTTTTCTCAGAGCAAAGCCACAGAACAGTAGATGATTACAAGGACTTTTTCACTGTAGTTGTTTCAAGCTGAGGTGATAGCACTAGCTATTGTCGGGGTTTAGCTCACCTTTAGAATTTTGTTTGATGTAGTTTAGTGGTTAAAATTATTATTTTTTTCATCAAATTAAGTGAAATCTGCACGTCATTAAGGGATTAATATATGAATAAGATGGTTAGACATTTAAAACTTTCTTAATTTGTGTGATAGCTGGTTATATATGATGTATAACTACATGTATTTATTCTTCCTATACCCTTACAGCGGACTGTTCTTTAAGTTTCTCTGTTTCTCTCCCCCCGACAGTCTCACCAGAGGCAGCACAATAAAGACAAGCCCTACAAATGTCCTAACTGCTACCGTGCCTACTCAGACTCTGCATCGTTGCAGATCCACTTGTCAGCGCATGCCATCAAAAACACTAAGGCCTACTGCTGCAGCATGTGCGGCCGGGCATACACCTCAGTAAGTGGAAGGAAAAAAAAGAAAAGAAAAGCCACAACATGATCTTCGCTTGCTTGCATGTGTGTTTACAAAGCTTAATTGCTGATAAGATTGTGACATTTGATGATGTTCTGCCTTCCTCTGGCAAAAAGAAGTCACGCTTCCTGTGCGTGATATTTAAAAATCTGGTTTGCTGAAACGTGCAGGGAGGGGGATGTTTTGCACCACGCCATTTTGGAGCACAGGGAACTTCCAAGTAATCCCTTTCTCTTACAAATAGAGCTGCATTTACAAAGCAGGAGATAATGGCTCAACTGGGTGCTATTTAAGCGTTTTATTCCAGTATAAGAAGGTGTCAACATGATCACCTACTCTGGTAACAGAGAGCATCTGCAAAAGGGTATTGGAGCCAATTGTGATGTCTGGGGATAAAAAGAATAGCAGAGTCAGCAGGTGAAAATCTTGCATAAAATCTAGAAGTCAACAGTTTAGCTAACAATGAGAACTTGACTCTTTGTTTTACTTTGAATCCAGCTCCAAAATAAAGAAATACATTTTAAATAATGTACTTTTATTAAATGCTCAATGTGTAAAAACCTTCTTCTTTCTTTGACCTTTACAGGAGACCTACCTTATGAAGCACATGTCCAAACACACAGTCGTGGAGCACCTAGTGAGCCACCAATCGCCACAGAGGACCGAGTCCCCCAGCATCCCCATTCGGATCTCCCTCATCTGAGCCCCCCCTCCCCACTCAAGCGTCCAGCAGCAAGATTTATCAGTTTGGCTTCATCCAGATCTCCTGAAGCCCTGCACCCAGGTTCCTCTACATAAGGCTTACATAAGGGTGGTGACAGCTGACCCCAAGCATTCAGTGTTAAAATTCAGTAAATGCATTTTATTTTTCAAAGAGCACAGCGTTGTTTTCTGAATGTAACGATACGGCTTGATGTTAATCTGGCGGTGGGGGCAGCAAAGAATGTCTTGAGTCAGATTCAGTAAGCACTTTGGTAAGCATCATGTAAACCGTTGGATGCATCGGCAGTTAGATATATTTTAAATACCTGTTGTTGTTTTTTTCCTTCACTTTAGATTATTTTGTCCCCCCTTTTTACATCAAATGGGTTTTCAAAACTTGTCAGGTGATGTTTGGCCTTTTAAAGTTCTCTGAGAGGGTGTGGGGGAAAAAAAAAAAAGAATTTAGGTATGTTTGGAAAACATCCAAAGATTATCTTAAAGCACTTTTTTTGGCGCTGTGGTTCTGGCTTAAATTGTTTTAATCAAGTTGGTGAGCAAATGCCAAAAAGGGGGGCATTACTTTAGGCAGCTAAGAGCAGAAATTATTATTCTGTGCTGCTTTCTTCATTTCTCAGCACATATAGTATTCCTAAAGCAGATGACAGGCAATCGGTCGAGGACAATTCAAATATGTTCAGATTGTTCTCATCAGAATATGTTGCAAGGTGGAAAGATAGATTATGTTCTTGCTTTAATTTTCTCCATAATCACTTTAGCTGCACCTTTAATTCAATGACAATTTATCACAAACCCCTTTAATCCTACCCCCTCACCCTTTTTTTGATGTTCATTCAAGTGATCAGTGCCATACCCGAACCTCTGACAATTGAAGAGGAATCAAATCTTTTGCAGTTCCTGATTTTAAAAGCTTTGATGGTTCATTTTGAAGGTTTAGACGTTAGAGCGTAACTACATGTCTTTTTAAATAAGCTCAAATTCCAGCTAAACTAGTTTTTTTAATAAGTGGGTAATTTTAAATCAAACCACTGGACCAAAATGTGAAGTTTATGTACAGCTATTCTCACCTAGCCAACACATTTTTTGTTGTAGCTTTTTTTTCTCCCCCCTCTAAAATAAGCTTTATTCATCTTGAAGAAACTGCAGTACAAGTCCTACTCAGTAGGACTATGAGTGTATGCTGAGGTAAATCCTCTGCTTTTTTTTTCTTCTCTACTTTTAGTATTATTTTTACTGTAAACAGTATTGTTTGTTGTATTTTTACTGTAACCTCCGAATGGTACTCATAGGGTTCCCTGTGTTCTTCAGGGTATTGCAATTATAAAAAAAAAAAAGGAAAAAAAAAACAGGTGCTACGGCTAGACTTTAGCTCCGAGATTGAACTGAGAAAAATGTAAAATACATATACAGTATATAGTATGTTTTCAAAAAGCATAAGTACCTATTACCCAAGCCACTGGCCTGAAAAAACGGACATTTACGCCAACAACAGACCCTGCCTCTTCAACGTACTCTCTCTTTTTTTGTTGAAATAATGGAAAAATGTACATGTTGATGTACTGTAAGACATGTTACTCATTTATAGTCCCTACTCTCTGGTTTCCATCAATATCTTCTGTTTGGAATTTGTAAAAGCTCACCTATGAATTAACTGTGATTATTTTAGTCTACCTGTATGTTAATCATCTTTTATATCAGTTCTATACATGTAAGCCTTAACTGTTTATCATCCCAAATACATTACTCTGTATTGTGTTCAACAGTATTCAGTCGTGTAAGCATTTTATTCTCATTTCTGTTTTGTTTGTTTTTTTATTCCGCATGGAGTTCTTGAGCTGTAATCTGTATAACTGTTTAACCCATGTTCTCTATGAAAAAGATATTCCGTAGATTTATTACACTTTTCCCTGTCTTGCATTGTGGTTTCATATAGTTTCAAGGCGACTTAATATGCACCACCAAGACTGAGGAGTAACTAAGGTTATCAATGTTGAAAAAAAAAAAACAAAAAAAAAGAAGCTTTGTATCTTTTCCTTGTTTAATAAACAGACTGTTATAAATTATTTCACTCTTCATGATTTGAGCTTGTTGAGCTAAGAAAGAAACTTTTCTTTGAATCTTTACTTTAGGAAAATATATTTGTTTAATGTTCTGAAACAGAATTCAAAGTTCTTAACAGACACAAACATTGTTTAGGCAAACCGAAAACAACCAATTATCTGTTGCTAAACAAGAACTAATACAAAAATAGTGGCTAAAATTTAGAGAATATACAAAAAAACAGACGTGATATGCATTCATGTTTGACTCTATTAAATATAGCAAGTATAAAAGTCTAAAGTGCAGCTGCCCTTTTTAAAGGCTTTAAGATTATATCGGCCATTTTTATTGACATTCGTGTTAAAGATGTGAAGGAAATTCAGCTTTAAATAAAATCTGTAATGCAGATCTGTCATAACGTTCCATGTTTTTAGCCAAATTTCCTCAGGCACAAATATTTAATGACAATGAAGCCCATCGCTAGTAACCACTGGACTTCATGAGGATCTAGAAATTACAATAAGGGTAAAAAAAAAAAAAATCGTTAAAGCTCATAAGGGTGGCTTCAGAGGGTCACCCATGATCCATACTAACTATTAGATGCCATTTATATGCAAACCTTATATCTAGGAAAGAATCAAAAAATTATTTGTGTGTTCTCGCTGATCTTTAAGCATTAAACAGCAAAACAAAGCATGAGTATATTGACCCCCCCATATATTCAGATTAAATTATAGCCATTGAAAGGCATCTACAAACCTTGATAATTCTCATGAGCATCCTAAAGCAGCTACACCAGAAATGCATGTACTGTATTGTCATTACATGTATGCATGGAATGACAAATAAACAATATGTCCTTTGTTTAGAGTTCTGGCAAAACCTAATGGAAAGATATTTTCAAAATCCAAAACCTTTTTTCTTTCCATGCGTACATAGATACATCTAAGTTTTTTGTTCTAAATAAGCCGTTATTATTTTGAGAGGATAATTTTTTTAAGTAAAGTTCAAAGTTAATTTATATTTAACTTTTTCGTCTGTGGATACTTTTCCTTCGTTGAATTTGTACAATTAAAATGACATAGAAAATGTAAATGATACTGTTCGGCGCATCTTTTAGTTTGAAAGCTTGCGTCAATTTATTAGTTTGGGGGGGAGGCAATATCAATGTCTTTCATGGGGCCCCAAATTCCTGGTGTTGCAAGCTGGTTTCACCAAACACAGAATCTTCCTAATCTAATTCTCCTCTCACTTCTCATATCTTAATTTTACTGAAGAACTCTGGGTCACTTACAGGGAAACTGCAATTAACAAGAACGCCACCTTAGAAATGTGGGAAAATATGGCCAAATATGGGTTTACTGGCTACAAGGGCTTTCAATGGTACAGCAAATACAGCAACAATGGCATCATTGCTGATTTTGTTATAAACATTCATCTTTTTATAAAAATTTGGATTTCTTTCTAAAATTTCATCCATCCATCCATTTTCTTCCGCTTTATCCGAGTCGTGGAGGCTGCAGTCTAAGCATAGATGCCCAGACTTCCGGATCCACACACACCTCCTCCTAAAATTTCCTGTCAGATTATGCTGCTCAAACACTTTTAATGTATTTCTCAGATCTTTCTGTGTTAATGAAATCAGGCGTTACTGTACATCCTGGGAAAGGCAGTACAATTTCCTCTGGAGGTAGTTCAGTATACATGAGCCTGATTCTGACACATCCTCACTAAACACTAGTAACCTAATGAGACTGGAATGACAGGATAAAATAAATTACAGTTTCGTCACTGGCAGAAAACTGGGTATAAGTATTATAAAAAATTATTAAAATCTTGTATTATTATTATTATTATTATTATTAATAATATAATTAATTAAATAATAATAATATAATTATTATTAAAAACATTGCCCTTTTAAGGATAAACAGATCTTAATAAAACTTAAGTTTAGCAACCCTAAAATCTCTAATAATCTCAGATTAAAGATGACATTCACATCTAAAGCCTATATCCATTTCGGATTTGTCTTGATATGGGTAAGATAAGACCTAAATACCAATGACGTTTCATTACTTCAACACATAGCTAAGCACGTAAAATGAATATTACAGATCGGGCTCTGCTCCTTATGCCTGTGCTGCACGGTTCCCTGACCACTGGAGAAAATTAGGAACAAGCAAAAGAATAAAACGGGGGAAAAAAAACAAAACAAAAAAATCCCAAAGAAGTACCACATACAGTAACATCCTATAAGAAAGAACTGACACACACAACATTTAAGGCATCATAAGGCATTGAAACATCACAATCAAAGCAGCAAAAACCCATCATCATACTTATGTTTGCACGGCAATGCAACAACTTCTCTAATGTAAACATCATCTCTGTAAAAAAAAAGTGCTTATACTCAATATATAATAAAAAATGTTATAAAAATGGATTTCACATTAACAGCACTGGTGGAAAGTCAGTTTCATAAGTTTATGTTATTAACAGACAGTATTAATCCTTTATATGGGCCTGGGGAAGTTAGACCTTTAAAGCACCGATTGCACAGCTTTGTGCTTTCTAAATAAACTGGTTCATTTCTTTAAAAAAAAAAAAAAAGCACTGTCCTTTAAAACGGAGCATATCAAGAAAATACTTGGGAAAAGGATTCCAAAACATTTGCTTTAAGTAAGGAACTAGAACAAAACAATATTTTATCGAATCTCCTTTTTTTAATAAAACCCTGAGTGGAAGCAGACTTTCCTCTGAAGCGAAAGCTTTGTGTTGTCTGGCATCGACGGCACCAAACTGCCTCCTTTCTCTAGTCATTGCCGTCAGAGGACTCTTCTGTACCTTTTGTAGAAGCTGGAGTGACCAGTGGGGAAGTAAGATTCAGGTACCCCTGCTCAGAGGGTTGCTGTGTGGAGACTGAAGTCCTTGTGCCATCCAGCACAACATGACTGCTCCCCTTAGCACTACAGATTGCGTCCAGGATGCTGATGTGATCACAGGGACCTGCAGTCAGACTGAGAGGAATAATAAGCTCCATTATTTCCAGAATCTGCCTCATCAGGTGGATCAATTCAAAGCTTGAGCTGCAGCTGAAGCTTCACCTCTGTCCAACTCCATTGGCATTTTCTCATATAATATAGCATTTATTCATCAGTAAATTAAATTAAAGAAAGTAAATAAAACTGTATCATGTTTGCTCACTTTTCTAAATGTAAGAGAAAAGTATGTTTTTCAGCTGCTTCATGCTTTGCTTAGTAACAGGAACTGAAACAGTTATGTTACGTGTCAATGAAAGAAAAATCACAGTATGACGTGCTAAACATTTTATTTTATATATTTTAGATATTATTCTTTTTTTTTTTTTAAACATTTAAGAAATTATTTCACAAAGAGATGGTTTAGATTACGGACTAAATGCGATACAAAATCAGAAACCCTACATTACTTTTTGGAAGCCATACTGGATATTAAACTATTTGAACCCTGCATTTCCAGACATTGTTTTGCTGTATTTCAGGAGCAGAACTAAGAAAACTGAACTTATAAAAGCAGAAAGGAAATCATTTTACATTTCTCTAATGAATTGTTATAAACTACATCCTGCATCCTCACATCTAAAAAAGGTTTAACCAGTGGCAGGCGCCCAGTTAAGACGACGGCAATCCTCTATAACCACAGCTTCCGCCATACTTACATCATCAGTAGCCGTTCAGATTCAATATGCATTTAATTACCAGATAGTATAGTGCATAAAGCATGAAAATAAAATATATCACACACTTATCAGACATGCTTATTACTTATAAACAAAATCCATCCTTCTGTCTTTGTGAAGAAAGTTTTAGCATCTCCATTTAGTATCAGCCATTGAGGCCAGAAAAACTTTTAACAAAAGCAAATGTAAAATGCAGATTGTCAGATGTTAGTTGGGGTCACAACTGCCACCCCAGAAGAAATCCTTGCCACCCCTGTTGCCTCCCCACTGAAAATATTACACTATTTGAATTTTACGGACAAACTGTCAAATTTCCCAGCGGACTTGAATGCATCCTCATGCAGCACGTTTCTGCTACACTTTTCATTGGTTAAGCTGACATGAAGATCCTTCATGCTCCAAACAGCTCCAAAACAGAACACAGCAGCGACATACAGGATCAATGCAAAGCATTTCCGTTGCTGGTGTGCACAATTAATGGTATTAAACTAAGTGCTGTTTTAACCCAAAAAAAAGGAGACGTTGCACCACCCTGCTTGTGCTTAGTATTACCTATGAGTATTACTACTTCAATTAATAGTATCATGTTTGGGTCTGCTGTCCATATGAAGTGGATTGATGTTCAAAAAGAAATGTACCCACAGGAAAAGCCTAGGGAACTTCAGTGACTTTTAGATGTTAAGTGGGCTTACAGGTACATGGCATGTACAAGTATGAGTGACAGGCTTCAAGAAATTTTGAGGATCTGGCAAGACATTTTACTAGAGAAGAACAGTGGAGACAGAAAAATTTAAGCAATGGGTCTTAAAGCCCATATTGACCTACAGTTTATAGGACTTTGCTTTACTTTTTGTTAAGTGTTTGGGGTTGTGAAAATCCTGTCTGACATGCTAATTCCAGAAGTCTTGATCTGGTTAGAGCAATAGATCTGGTTGGTTCCCTTACAGGAACATTAAAAAGCTACAGAAGTGATAGTACATTTGGTGAATTATTGATGGAGACTGAAGATTTTCACTGAAGCACAAAACAAAAGACGACCAAAGACCAATTTCAAATTTCTGGACTCATTTGTAACGAGCACTTTTGCACAGAGACACTGTGAGTTTGAAAATAATGAAGAGTTCAGTAGAAATATTTTCTATCACATACTTGATTTTCTTGAAGCAGAAATAGATGCGATTTTCCAAAAAGAAATGTGAGATAATGGAAGGAGTGCAGTCTCTTCAACCCAAAAGCCCATCATTCCTAAAAGAGGAGCTTCTGCTTGCTTTCGGGAAAACATTCAAGTCACACTTGGAAGACCTTAAACATGAGCTTCATTGAACCAAAGGGCTTCTTGTAAGAAGGGGGAGAAGTAGAGAGAGACCAGCTTCTCTACTTGAGTTTTTTGTGTTTTTGCAACCTTACAAAGAGGTTTTCCATGAACTCTTTAGGATGAGTAAAATTTCGGTTGTGATTCCAATTAGCACTGCATCCTGCGAAAGAAGTTTGTCTGCACTTAAATTAATAAAAGCCCATTTTAAGTCAATAATGGCAGATAATGGATTAAGTTATCTGGGCATACTCGGTGTTGAGTCAAGGAGGGCATACTCCCTAAATATGAAAGACTTTTTAAAACATTTTGCTTCATCTTCATCGCACTTTTTATTTTTTTATTTTATTCTTTTTTTCCTACTTGCTTTAATTCTGTTTTATTTTCCTATATTTTAATCATGTAAAGCACTTTGCATTGTCTTTGTACTGAATTGTGCTATACAAAAAGATTTGCCTTGCCTTGCTTTGCACTGCTGATTCTGAAGGCCCTGGGCAGATTTGATTGACATAGCAATGCACTAAGTCTGCAATCTGATTGGACAAAAAATATGTCAACGACATAAATGTGATGGAAGCAGCACAGCAAAGAGAAACGCTTCAAAATTCTGAGAATGGATTGTTTGGAATGAATTAATAAAGCGGGATAGAAGGAAATTAAAGTTTAGGTTGTGAATGTTAGTAAGTGTTTCTCATTTATTTTAGGCCAGCAGAGAAGGCTTTGACCGCCCCCCCACTGGGCTTAACTTATTTTCCATCAACAGGCTTACCTTAAAGTGGATGAATGCAGGATACCTTCTGTGAAATCATCAGAGGAGAACACTTTCTTGGCACTCTGTTCAAATTTGAACAATTTGAATTAGAATATGCAGACGTGCTTATTATTCAATAAAAATAGATATTTTAGCTCCCCCAAACCAAATTGAAAATATTTTTCAAAACATCTTACAGTTACTGATAATCTGGATCTAGATATAAACTAATAAAAAAAATGCTATAATTTCTTAACATGACATAATAACATAAACCAAGACAAGTTAAAAGAAAAATAATAAAACGTTTTTTTTTTTACCTCCAGACGGTAGAATGACTCAGCATTCCTCAGAGCCCGTTCTAAGGAGCTGACTTGATTTGAGAGCTTCATGGTTCTGTCCTGCAGTTGTCTGTTTTCCACTTCTAAGACATTAACCCTTGAAGAGATAATCACCCACAATCAATCACAAATTACAAATATCATTAGACATGGCACTGATTAGAAATACTGTTTGTGCGGCACATCTAAGAGGGAAGCGTAAAGGAAAATTACTTCATAGCAGATAATCAATATTTAAACAGAATGGGGTACAAAAATAAATTGGCTAAAAGATTTCTGTCAAATGAAAGATATATTTAAAAAACCTACCAAAGAAGTGCTTTGTTCTCCAAAATGAATGTATGTGATCCTGTGACTGAAACCTATAGCTATTTAAATGTCCATAATAGATATCATAAAGAAAACATATGGTACAATAATTTAGGCAAAAATATCGCTAGACATTCCTTAATAGGCAGTGGTATATTTATATTGTTCACAAAATAAAATCCTAGTTAGGCTGTTCCCCCATCTTTAGCGACAGAGGAATGATCCTGTGCTGCCCCCTACTGACTAACAGTAGTAATAACTTCCTAAAACAAGCTTAAAGCAAGTGAACCTGTGTTGGGCGGTGGAGGCAGTCCTCATGCCTTTGCTGCCCATGTCCTCTGCCTCACTCATCCTCCGTAACAGTTCCCGCTTCTCCTCCAGCAGCTTCTCGTTTTCTATCATCACTGCATTGATCCGCTCCTTCTCCTACACGAAACCGCATTAGGACAAGAAAAATATCAAGATAAGGAAACCTACAAAAAATTATCCACCATTGGAACTCAAAGGTTTCAAGACCTTGTGGGAGATACTGGAGGCCAGTGCCAGTTCATTCTCCAGTTTCTGGATGGTAGAGTCCCTCTGTGCCGTTGCTTTCAGGAAAACCTGCTTGGCCTGATGCAGTTTACTCTTATGCTGACTTTGCTTGTCGTTGTACTTCCTGGTTATGCAGCAGTGAACATTAGAGAATCAAAGAAGATTCATAAATGGTGGTTTATTATAGGCCTGTAAATGCTCTGTGAAAATCAAGAAACATCTTTAGCCGTCCAGGGCTACAAGAAAAGATGATGCCACTCTCATCATATCCTCTGTAGGACTTGTTTTTGTTGGCGTTGTCCATCTACAACTATTTTGAGACACTTAACTGGTGTTATTAGTTAGTTTGGAGCTTCAGTTTTTTTATACACCATTCCATTTCCTGGATATCTAAATTAGTTCTTGCAAGTTCAAATGACTGTTATAACTCTCAGTATAATGCCATCATTGAATGTCTGACCTGATGCGTGCATCTAGTTGAAGGAGAACCTGCTGCAGCTCCTCCTGCAGCTTTTCACACGCCTGCTGACTGGTCACCAGATCTTCCTGCAGTTGCTGGTTGGTCTTCTGGCTGGTTTTTGCCTTCAGACAAACAAAAAAAACATTTTTAAATAAATCAAAACCACCACTGACGACAAAACTAATAGAAGCTAAATTGGGATCTTCAATGTTTAACTTGGAAAGAAGGTAAGTTTAAATAAAATAATTAGAAAGAACCTGATGAACTATTGCTCACCTCCTCTCTGGCCTTAAGAAGCTCAGCCTCTAGGATGGACAGCCGGGTCTCGAGCTGCTGGGCACGGTGGCTGAGCTCCGTGTTTAACCTGTTGAGAGAAGCTTCCTTCAGCCGAAGTGAGCGAACCTGCTGCTGCAGCTCCTCCTCACGCTGCTCTAAAAGCTTTCTGAATACAGGACAGAAGAAAAGTTTGTTATTGGCTGAGTGTGGGTATAACGGCTCTGTGCTTACAGCTTTGGTGCACTTTGTATTACCTGGTGATATGTTCCTCCTGCTGCTGAGCTCTCAGGGCTGACAAAGTGTCCGACAGATCCCGGCTGTCCCTCTCCAGGCGGCTGCTCTCGCCGGCCCGAGCTTCCTCGACACGCAGCTGGTGCTGGGCGTTCTTTAGCTGCTGCTGGAGCTCCAAAACCTGCAATCAAAAGAAAAAGCCACAGGTTTAACCCAGAGACAAACAAAATGTAACTTCCCAACTTTTGCTCCATTAAAAAACATTGCTTTTTTTATTATTATTAAATAATGTTTTTAAATGGATTTTTAAAACTTTTTACCAAGACAGAGAACAAATTATCCATCAACCATTAAATATATTTTCCTCAGGGTAAAACAAATTCAGAGCTTTGCCAAGGTATTTATACCCCTTTTACAATTTTATAATTCTTTTAAGACAGTGAACCTTAATGCATCTTGAAAAGTTGTGATTTGAAACATGATTCCTACTGAAAATAGAATAAGAGTGAATCTTAACATGGAGTCAGAGAAAACATCAATAGCATAGCTAGATGCACTGTGTGCAGAAATATTGGTGACATCACAAATAAGAACAATAATAACAGTATCATGGTGAACCCCCTGGCTTACAATTTGGCGATTATTACAAGAAAGCTGAAAAAGAAGTCAATTAAATATTTTTTTCGTTTGGGTATTTAATTAATTGTTTTAATAAATTTTAAAGCAGATCTGATTTGCCATTTGATTTGACAGAAACATTTTAAATGCATTTAGGTGAAATGGGCAATCACTGGATCTCCCACTGTTCAACCCAGATAGACAGGCTGGGGGAAAGAGAGGAAAGAGAGACAGGCTGAAGTAGCGAAAAACTAATAGAGCAATAAAGCATATCAGTGTGCGTACAAATACACAAAACGGCAATATTTTGGTGAAGCTAGTGCTTAATTTTTGTTTCCTAAGAAGCCAGCATATCCAAAAATGAGTCAATTTACTGGTTCAGGGAACGTCTAGTTTGACCCTAAATTTGATATAGAAATAGGATTCTAGAGCTAAACCCAAACTTTGAGTTATGCTGCATTAAACAAACTGGGGAAAAATGCTGTGTGACACCATTGTCTAACAAGTTCGAGCGCAAGAGCCGACCTTCTTGTCTGCAGCGATGAGCCGTGCCCGTTCGGTCTGCAACTCCTCCTGCAGACTAGCAGCGGTGCTGCCGTTTGAGCTGCTGCGTATCAGCTGCAGCTCTAGTTCTCGGATTTTCTGCTGCTGGCGTTCGCATTCTGCATCTTGAGTTTGGAGTTTCTGCTCCATCTGCACCAGCTTGGACTGGGTCTGCTTAAGCTCAGCACTGAGCTTAAGAAAAACAAAAAGAGCAGAGCCTTTACAAGAGATAAAGTAGTATCAAACAAAAAGCTTGTTGTAAAATTTAACCAAAAGTCCCAATTCTGTCCAAGTCCACTTTATATTATGAATTATATGAATTATAAGAAAGGCTTCAGCCTTGGATGAAAATATTACAAATTTATTCAGTAACTCACTGAACACATTATCTGAGTCTTCCCCAATGAATCATAAGGTTTGCTGATGCTTAGCATTCATAGTAAATGTTTAATGCTATTTAAAACAATTCCTGATGAGCAAAAGCTAAACACCAACTTTAAGTTTTTCCTGCTCCAGCAGAGTGTTGTGTCTCTTCAGATCCAAGCTCTTCTCCTTCTCATAGCGTAGCTCCTTCTCAGCCGAGGTGAACAGGCTCTGGGCCCTCTGCACATCTTGCTTCATCTGTTTCGCCTCCTCAGCCTTCTGGCTCATCACTGAATCTTGAGACTGAAAATGGGAAGAACAGTGTTCAGTAGATGTAAAAGTGCCCTTTAATAGAATACATAAATCATTCACTCATTTATAACATTAACTTTAACAGAGCAGCTTATCTTGTTAAAACTCTGTCATTGCTTAGTTTGAATCAAATTGTTTTCATAACAAAATCATTTATTTTCTCATCAATGCAGCTCGTAGCTGCCTAAAAATTACATCAAAATTAAAAATATGTATCTAAAAGAGAATGATTATATAGCCTTGAAATAACTGCATTATTTAATCCAGTAACTTGACATTAAATCTATTAACTTTTTGAAAGTCCATCATTGGTAAGGAACATTTTAATACTAATCTAGACCTTCCTGCTTTCTTGGGCTATAAAAATAACATTCCACAACATTTATTTCTTTAAAACACAGACAAGACACAATTTCAGTCAGTTAAGGTATTTCTTTGCTGCCGGTTTTAATCCCTACTTTGTGAGGGGTAATGGCAATTAGTCTTAAAAACTCCCAAAGGTTTTCTGTCATTCAACTGCAGCTAAAAAGGGGCATTAGCATTCCATGACTCAGCTTATTCATCCAGTCTTGTGCCTATCTTTACAAGGATACAAACCCTTATGAAGAGAGCTTTCTGTTGAACTCCAAAAAACCAAAAGGAAATATATTTTGAAGTAAGAGAAGGATGTGATCCATTGTACCTTAATATATGCCTGGGCTTCAATGATCTGAGCCTGAAGCGTCATTTGGTGCTGAGAGGCTAACTGCCGTTCTTCCTCCAACTTCTCCTCCAGAACATTTATTTGCTTCTTCAAAGACATAAGCTGTTAATTTAAAACAGAGAGAAATTAATAAAATAAATTTACAAATTTTATAAAAAGAGACAAGAAACATTTCCATTCATTGTCTCAGGTAAATTAGACTTAAAACATGTCCGGTTTTAGGTCAGTTAGGATAACAATCTCGGATTTATAACAGATTTCTCAAATAAAAATTCAATGAAGTCAGTTTTAGGTTTTATTTGCTGTGGGAAACCCATATATTTCTACCCATGGGCCTCAACTGAAAGCCTAACTTCCTGGTTGTATCCTGAGTTGTTGCAGATGAATGTGGCAGTTTCAGCCATCTGGAAATATACCCCCATTATGAACCAGACTTTTAATGATTTAACTAGCATAATAATGAACCTACACATACAGAGGCTGACATAGCTAACTCCATTACCTGATCCAAACCTTCAACCCTTCCTTTCTCCACTGAATCATGCCTAGATACTGCATTAGCTGTTTGTAGTTCAGCCTTTTGGCTACGGAAGAGTTCTTCCTTTGCAGAAGACAGCTGCTCCTGATGCCACTGAAGCTGCTTATTGAGCCGCTGGATCTCCAGCTCCAGCCGCTCTCTTTTTCCTTCCGCCTCTAGCTTCTGATGAACGGCGTTGCTCAGCTCGGCCTGGAGCTCAGCACTCTTCTGGCGTTCAGAGGCCATTTCCTCCCTGAAAAACACACACATACAGTATATGCAAACCAAGGAAGCTCCAGTATCACAGTGTTATCTCTTCACTGGCTATAAAAAATGGATAGACATGCTACTCATAGCTGTTTGATCAGTGCTGCACAGCCACTGGTATTTCAAATTCAAATATTTCAGTAAAACCATGCAACAATGAGCTAAACTGTACGCATTAACCTCTGCTGAAACACTACCTCAGGGTGTCGTGGGAAGACTGGAGGCTACGGAGTTCGGTGTTAAGGCGTTCGGTCTGCTCCAGAGTGTGATCAGCCAGAGGTTTGTTTTCTATCATTTTTTCCTGAGTCTGGTTACTCTTCTTGTAATCTTCCAGCTCACTCTTAATTCTGTTGTAAGCCCGTTCCATCTGGGCCACCTGGGAAGACCATAAATTACATAAAGTCCTTTGCAAAAATACTTCTACAACAAACAAAAAATTGAGGTGAAAGACCAACACAAGGTAAGGGATAACTGCAGTGAAAGGAGAGGAATCTGAATGTATTGTGATGCAGACCTTTGCTGTTCACGTTAGGCTCTATCCAGGCTAAGCAGGTACACTTCCAAGGCTACATCAACACCAAGTCAAATAAGTTATACCACAGCGTAAGCTCAAGTGTAAAGATGAAACTGGCGGACGTTTGTGTCGGCGCAGGCCTGTTAAGGCTGGTGTGGCTGCGTTGACACAAACATACTCCAATGGTATCATGGCGGAGCCGTCCCGAGGAGCTGCTTCAAACTAATCAGGGAGCTGGTTTCAAATGTAGTCGGATTAATGGCCGCTTCCTTGTGATGGAACCCCTAACCGACTAAGAAGCTTGTCAAATACACTCAAACCTAGCTTTGCCTGGAAGAGGCCTAAATGTCGCTGTGTACCAGTCCCAACAAAGACCTGAAGGTTTAATTCTCTGCTTTAAATCAAAGCAGAGCATAATTCAAATGTTAGAGCAGTCCACTCAAAGCTCAGAGCACAACATAACAGATAATCTGTTACAGGACAAGATCCAGCTGAGCCTGAACTAGTAATAAAGAGAAACAGACAAAAAGTTAAGTATTTTTGTCCGGATTGCCTAAAAATACTAGAAGCTGCAACTGCAGCAAAAGGTGGTTCCACAAGGAAGGAACTGAAAGGGGTAAAACACTAGTTCACACGATTTAAACATTTTATTAATTCAAAAACATCAATTCTTTTTTTCTACTTCATGATTAGCCATTACTTTGTGTTAGTTTGATCAAAATAAGAGTAAAAAACAATGTTGTTTGTGGTTCCATTGTGAGATGACGCAGAGTATGAGAGTATTGCCATACAGGGAATCTAAGCTATTTTCATATCAGAGTAAAACTTAGTAAAAATGAAGCTGTCACAGAAAGCAGACAGAAATAGTCAAACCTTTTCTTCCAGAGCTGCTTTTTCTCCCTTGACCTGGGTCAGACTTTTGATAAGCGTTTTCCCCTGTTGGCACTCGGTCTGAAGACCGCTGACCTCCAGTCTGAGTTTCTTCAGCTCTCGCTCACCTATCTGCAAAGCCTTTGGGAAACAAAAATGAAATGGTTTTGTGAGATTAATTTGGAAAATATTTTACATTTAAATGTCAGGTTTAAAGGGAAACAATTTTCTATATGCAGCCTCTTAGCACAGACCTTAGTCCATCAGCTTTATCCTAAACACTCCTGTAAGTAAACCAACTAGCTTACATTAAACCTCCATATCTATATTTCCCTCTTCAAATTATAAACCGGCTTTTCAGATAGGTTTTAAGTGGCTACTTGGTCAAGCTGATAGCCTGAATTGGACTCTTACCTCTTTATCCTTCTTGAGGGCAGCCTGAGCTGCTGTGAGATCCAGCTCCAGCTGTTTCCTCCACTCCTTCTCCTCGGTCAGGCGGGCCTCCAGCAGGGCCATTCTCTCCTGGGAGCTTTCCCTCAGGTGCTTTGTACATGAGGGGAGATCAATGAGCTAAGTGGTTATTTCATTCCCATAAGAACTGCAACCACTGTTTTCATCCACTTTAAGCTCATTTGGATTCTTAATACATAACATTATAGGAGTCATTTCTTACGATGTGTAGGTAGGATTCAGTGGCCTTCACCTCTTCACCATTTTTCTGTATTTTTTCAAGGGGATCTTGTTTTTTCAGCTCTGCCTCCAGGCTTTTAATCTGCATAGTTGGATATAACCATCAGAGATTTCACTGGACCCACTCAAACCTTTACAATGTAAATGTTTCCATGTACTTCTGCAACTATATCAGATAAAGATCCATTTGAAAAATAAACGCATCATATTTATGAAGTAAAATTTTAAGTGCTGTAATGAAGATGTGCTTTTCTTCCCTCTTACCCTTCTGTGCAGCCCCTCCACCTCTCCCTCAAGGCGATGCCTCTCTTCTTTGTTGGTGTTCTGGGCCTCCCCCAACAGAGACTCCAGCTCTTCATTCCTCTCCTCCAGCTCTTCCTGCTCCTTGCGTAGCTTCTGGAGTTGGCGTTGCAGCTCTCTCACTTGCACAAGTCCATCTTCCACCGCTTCCTGACACCTAGCAGGGAATATTTGTAATTAAAGCTTAGTTCAGCCTTAAAGAAGTCAATATTGCTGCTTTTTTAAGTGTTGCTTTTAATGGCTTTAGATAGATACCGTTTATGAATCTGATCCTTTTCTTGGGTAGACACAGCAGAGTTTTCAGATTCAGTGTTCTTGCTCCTTAATTCTCCTTTGGCTAGATTAGATTTTGCTACCTGAATAAAAACAACACACACAAAAAAATCTTAGGTACAGGAAGACCCTGTAATATTAAGATGACAAAAGAAAATGTGTATAATAACCTGATCCATAAGATTTTTCTTCTCAGACTCCATGATATTTACTCTTTCCCTGAGAGCTCTGTTCTCCGCATCCAGTCGGTCATTTTGCTCTTTGGCTTGCTCTAGCTTTATCATATCTGTAAAGAGAAAGCAAATGTAGTTCCACTGCCTTATTAGATTAAGGAATAACACCTAAAGTTTTGCATATGGGTAAATTAAAATCATTTAAAGGGATCCAGGACTAGGTGAGCATGCTGGCCTAAATATGTTGTAATGTTTCCTATTTACTTAAAATTGCCATTCTTGAAACTTAAAAACTCCAAATTAATTACAAATTATACATCTTTTGTTATATCTTTGCCCATGCAGGTCCTTTTTTAACTGTGCAAAGCATGTTGGGTTGATGATGTGTTAGACCTCATTGGACTGGAAGCTACAGAATTGTCAGAGGAAGGCTAACAGTACTTGATTTGGTTTTTTATCATATTGACTGTTGTAAATTTAGACAAAGCCAGACTGTGCTGCTGCCTCACAGTTTTCATGAGATATCTGCTGAGACAAACTTCTAATCTACTGTCCATATGACAATATTTTTACTGTATTGTATTTACATCGAAAATAAATATTTAAGTCTGTTGTCTCAACTAATTGTGGATCCCTTTAAAGTTAGGGTATGGAACGCTCCGGTGTAAATACAGAAATTAAATAGAAAGCATAAAGCAGGTTTGTTTGCAGAAAGTTATGCAATTACTGGTTCAGATTTGTGTACCTATATAGGTCAAAGCAGTCCTGCAACATGGGCCGGTATTAATACTTTAACTAGATTTTCTAATAACCTAGTGAATGTGTTTTCAACAAACCACATGGCTCTTGTCCATTTTTCTTGGCAGCATCAAGTTCATCGTTAAGACGGCGAATGTCTTGATGAGCCATCGCCAGCCTCCTGGATGCCTCTTCCAGGTCCCGCTCCAGCCGTTGCCGCTCAGTGTGCACTCTAGAAATCTCTTCATTATGGGCCTGTTGCAAAACCATCAGGCACAGGTGGTCGGTGTGGAAGAGGAAAAGAAAAGAGTGGGAATGCTGGTTAGACTGGAGACATCTTGCAGGTGTATAAGAATCATGCATTTCGGACTGAGGTCCATTATCACTGCGGATGTTCGGAGGCAAAATTATCCTTTCCAATATGATACTGATATTGCAGCTTTTAGTATTAACTGATGCCGATACCGGCCTGATATGCTATCAGCATGAAACATACATACTTTATTACTTATGTTGTCCTGCTGAATGTTATAAAAAGGATTAATAAGCCATTATCTAAACAAAAATGAATAGTCAGAAAGGATAAATATAAGAACAACTGACCCGTTTATTATCAGCCAGAGTTACACAAACTTTAGAGAAGCAGCTAGAAGCAGGGAGCTAAGCCTGCTTCAATCAGCAATTTTAGATGTATGTGCTTTATTTTTGGCTGATCTGGACCAATATCACTAATTATCACTGAAGACCTGTAGATAGCAGGTGAAGGTGGTTATTTCAGGCTTCTTCAACATGTTTGTATACTGCATAAAATACTCATAAATATACATTTTAATTCGTAGTTGTAATCAAAGTGTACCATTATTTAAAAAAAAAAAATGTCACTGCAACATCAATAGCTACAGACTCACAAATGTAAACTCATGACTTGGTTGCAATATTTTCTACCATGCAATTAAGTTTTTTTTTTTATGTTATATTTGGTCCATGGATAAACTCACACTTTCCACAGTGAAAATAGATAGTGATTAAGACTACAGCTTCGACAGAGCAAAAAAATATTGGTAAATTGTAACAAACATTACACAATTGTGTAACTTCATCGCAATATTGTTTTCCTAAAATTATGCAGCCCTTTCATTTTAATGTCAGAAAACATGTAAAGGTTCTTGGATACATTTGCAAGCACTGAAACATGCAACAGAGAGTGAACCCAACATGAGCCAGGCGTCATATGGAGAGGAAGGTTAGTTCTTAACCTTTAAATAACAAAAACAGTATTAAGTGGTGTTCTTCATAGTATGCATGCACATAGTATCAATCTGTGTGCAGAATATTCCCTAAAGCAATTATGTGTTAAACACCCTGGTGTTGTCCTGCTGTTGGCCTACATCACAACCCCAGTGTTAGTTAAAGGTTAGTATGAGCTGTGAAGTAGAAACCTACAGGGCTCATACTGTGTTTGCTCTGAGCAGACCTGCGCAGGCCAAACAGCTTCTTCCATGGACTCTGAGATGAACACTGCTGACAAAACAAAAACCAATGTGCATATGATGGTAGGGCCGATCTAAACATTTGTCTGTACAAAAAATAAATAAATAAATAAAAACACCCAATCGATCTTCGGTCTCTCTGACGTCGTTCAACCAGGATAATTGCTCAGCAAACCAAAGACACCAGAGGAACCTCACCTTTGTCATGTTTTCTATGGTCTTTTGCAAATCCTCCCTCTGCTGCCACAGATTATCTCTTTGGATCTGCTCCTGTTAAAGAATGTCACACAGATAGAGACTGCGTGTGTTTTAGGTAGTTACACATTATCTTTCATTATAATGATAAAGTTTAACCGCAGACTAAACACAAAGTCTGATGTGTCTGCATATTCAGAGCTCCAAAAGGCACAGAGTTTACATGTGGAGGTCGTAACAGGAAAACTAAAGTTAATAACTTGCTAACGTTACATAATTCAGAACAAGTTCTATGTTATGGACAAATAAAAACAAAACACTGAATCCTCAACATTCTGAAGTCACCATCCCAAAGTATATTTCCTATTCTACTCTCATAAAAGCTTTACCTGATGGCTGCTAATGTGGGTGTTTACGTCGGGAGGATGACTTTCCAATTTTGCCTCGGCAGCGTCCAGCCTTTCCAGCAGAGTGGCCCTTTCTACCAGCAAGTAAGCCACCTGCTCACTGGGGCTACTTAAGCCAATCTCCCCTAGGCCTTCCTGTGATAACATCTCAGCCATCTCCTTGTTCTGGATCTCTAAAAGAAAGCAAAGATTCCCTCAGTTCAGACTAAAATAAATGACACCTGAGCAAAGTTACAACACTATAATTAGCAGACGTGAGAGTACATATATAGATGACAAAACAAAAATGTCTCATGTGGCCTCTAGTTGATTGTTTAATATCTAGTATTTCAAAGCGTTTAATGTATAATTCAATAGAGAAACAGGCCCATGCCATAACAGATCCTCTACCGTACTTAACAAGCGAGTTTAAGATTATCATGCTCATAATCATCCTTAGTTTTTATCAGACTGATCAGGATGTTTGGTGCTAAAAGCTTAGTCTTTGTTTTATCCAGAAGAAAAAAAATCTGTTTAAGCTGAACAAAAACCACACATTTATGGTTCTAATAGTAATTCTTCAGACTTCACAGAACAAAAGTTCACTTCTATATAGTGTTTAAGAGATATTGCATTTTCCATTCTAAGATAGAACAGTTTAGTTTAGTTTAGTTTAGTTCAGTTTTATTAGGATCCCCATTAGCTGCCAAATAAATGGCCACTAATCTTCGTGGGGTCCTCACATAAAGAAATTACATTACATTATGAACAAACCATTAAAAAATTGCACAAGTTGCACATTAGGAAATAATAGGAACATGAAAAAGAGTAGAAATATATAACATAAATACACAGGTCAGTTCATCATATTATCTGCAGTAGCTCTGAGGACAGTATCTTTTTGAAGCTAGTTTTGTTCTGGACTCTTCACGTGGTTATTGGCAGTTGGTTCCAGTGACAAATGGCTCTATAATACACTGTGGATTTAAGATAGTTTGTTCTGGGTCGAGGGGGTTTAATGTCTCCACCTAGTGCCCGCCTTGTTAAATAATCATGACTTTTTTCAAGAAGGACTAAATGTTCAGCAAAAAATGAAGGCTGTTTTTTTAAGGAAAACATTCCATATAAATAGGAGAAGTCTTAATTTTGGTTTATAGGTAACTGTTAACCATAAAAGCCGTCTATGCTTTGAAGCCACATTTGTTCTTTGTGAGCACTGAAGGACCACTCTGGCCGCCCTGTTTTGTGCCAGCTGAAGCTTGTGAAGCTCCCTCTGTGAAGCAGATGACCATATCACCGGGCAATACTCCAGATAACTCAGGACAAGAGACTGTACAACCTGTTTAGCAATAGCAGCGGGTATAAATGAAACACATTTCTTCACCATCGTAATGCCTTTACCCATTTTAGCCACAATACCATCTATATGAGCAGCCCCAGACAGGTGTGAGTCTAAGATGACTCCCAATAATTTCTAAATTCACCTTGCTGATGTTTGATTAGGTGAAGTTCATGTCGCAAGTCTTCATTGTCTCGCTCATACTCTGCAGTCAGACACTCGCGCTCTTCCAACAGCGCCCGAATGTGTGCTACGTAGCTCTCCACCTGAGGGTTAAACACATAAAACTCAGCTAAATCTACTGTAACTACTACAGTAAGGTAAATATTGCAAGTATAATCTGCCAAATCTACTTAATATTTTGGAAACAAAATTGTCTTATTGGACTTTTCTTTTTTTAAATAGCTCAATATGAAGCGTTTAACTATTTTTTCTGGGCCGCCTCACCTCCTTCATTTCACTGGTCTGCTGTGTGCGTGAAGTCTGCAGCTCCTTTGACACAGACTGAAGCTGCGCCTCAGAGCTAAGCAGCTGCTGCCATAAATGCCGCAGCCGCTCCTCTGCAGTGGCCTCTGGAGCCAAGCCATCCTCCTGAATCCGCTTAGTAATCTGGTCCAGCTCTGTCAAGAACTAAGGAAGCAGGGGGGAAATTAAACAATTTATTGGCGACCAAATGCATCAAAAATGACTTTGAATTCAATGTTTTGATACATTTTAAAGGAAAAAGGCTGCTCAGTCCCCTGATCCTGACTGTGCATCAATATTCATACCAGAGGTAATTAATTGTTGATATAAAAGAAAAATAAAATCAGCTGATTCTTAGCTTGCACAAATTTTAATCCTTATTTTGACAATATTTACCTTCTTTTATTAGATAGACGTAGCAAATTCCAATTAACTTCATCATTGTTTTATAAAATATTGAATAAAATAGATATGATGGCAGCAGATTATGTTATGTGCTTTTTAGTTTGACTAAAACTGAGTTTTTTTGGAAAGTTAGACTATGGCTGTGGGGAACCGGCACCAAACAGCTGTTTCACTATCCAGTAACTTGAGCAGAAGCCATGCAGCATTTGGAAAGCTAAAGGAGTCCTTCCAGCTCCAACAACATACAGAAAAAGTATCAAGTCTCACAGCTGCTTGTGTTCAACACATGAGCACCATCTGGTCTACGCTTCTCTCGGACAAATGGCTGAGAGCTTGCAAATGAAGTACACCGTTCTTTTAGGTTTATTATCATTTAAGATGTGTGAGTTTATCACACCCTGGTATGGGCTGCCTGTTGCATGTCAGAACTGACGTTTTAATCTAATACAGACAGTTCCTCTGTCTGGATATAAAGTAATAATCCTTATTTTCAAAGATTTGGAAATGGAATGAGAACGGTGTCCTATTTTGATAAGGCTGAAACCCTTGATTTTTAATCCTCTGCTAATGTGTATGATGTAAAATATGATGATGTGGCAGACTAGAGATGTATAAAATGCCTTTTTTTAACTATTAATCAGCGCCATTTCCTGAGAGCAGCTGCCATTCTGTAACCCTACGCAATTTCTAAGAACTAAGATTACAATTTCTATCGAAATCTGTTGTCATGTCTCCTGGTTATTAAATACATATAAGTTATGAAGTGTTATTTACAGAGTTTGTCCCGAGTGATCTCTTTTCATGGAAAAGACCTGGAGAGATGGAGCATCAGGGTGCATACACAGAGCCTATCTTTAGCAGTTCCAATACTGACAAATGATGTAAAAGATGCAGACTTTTCAGCTAGATTTATGTTTTATTTTCTACACTTTTTAAACTTATCCTTAGGAAAAACAAAAAGATACCCTAGTTAGTAGGGAAACTTCATGAAGACATGAAAAATCCAATGCTCCGCAGAGAGAAAACACTTTAATTGAAGGAGAATTACCTCTTCATGATCCATCTGCATTGATTTTGATGGTTTTTAGCAGAGTAAATATTGATCTCAAGCAGCAGCCCTTTTTACATGATGTCCCACAAAAAACAGCTCAGTTTGCACTTGTGTGGATTGCAAGAGTAGAGCCTCAAACTTCATCGCTCCCATTGTTGGAATCCACCCATACCAGGAGTTCTGCAAAAAGAAAAAGGAAAAACTTAGAGCAACTTAGTCAAGTCATGACAAGACCTGCAGTAACAACCTCAGGCTCTACTATCTTCCTGAGCTGGGCTGTTAAACAGCTGATGCACTCCATCACCTGAGGCTATGCAAAACCTCAGCTTATCATATGAATAGAAACCTTTATAATCAAGAGGCATTTTTGTCACTATGAAACCATATATAATTGTTGCTCCTTCTTGACTAAAAAACACACCATTAAATATGAGGAGCAAATAGTTAACAGCTTAAGCATGCAAGTTTAGGCGGAACCTTTAGCAGGACAATATTGTTCATCAGATTATTAGGCAAAGCTTTAGTTTTAATATGGAAAGCTTACTTTCTCCCTACATATTGTGTTAGAATGAGGATTTATTGTTAAAATATGTAAAAGGCAGCGGGTTCATCTGTGCTTTTTAAACACAACTCTGTGTTTGTTCCAGTTTAACGACAGTGTGGGTTTTAACACCATGTTTGGAAAACTGTTGGGAACCGCTGCATTAGCGGGTGGGCTAACGGTACCGCATCCAGACGCCGAGTGTTTGAATGGGAACTGATGGGTTATGTCCGGGTTTAAGTGTTATAACCGGAAAGTTATCCAAAAGTCTTAATGAGCCTGAGTTTTTGGGATCTGGAACGGAAGACTAGGGTTATGTTTTACTCACCTAGAGATAGCCACGGGCTCGCTCTACGCTACCTTGTTGCTAACGTTGGCTAATTATCTTCAGAAAATCCGAGTAAGACACAAGATACGCGAACGTTTCAAGGGGTTTTCATTGGTTACAAACAAACCTCGTTGTTTTGTTTTCATAAGTCAGCCTCATCTTTTAAAATGACGGTCAAGCCCCCCACTCTTCGCGGTTTCTTGGTCGCTCAAATACCATGAATTACGGTAATGCTGGTTAAGACCTTTCAGAATAAAAGCAATATTTTAGTTACTCGACCCAGTCAGTGTTCTACTCATATTTTCAATGTCCGCGTTTGAATATTTTTCACAGTTGCATGTATTTTTCTTTATGCTTATTATTTGAGAATCTTAAAACTATTGGTTTTCCAGTGACTCTTACTCCAGAATGACATCTGATGTGGAATTTCAAAATAAAATTCCCCCAGAATCTGATTGCTGTTACTTTTATCCAACTTGAAGTTCATTTAGGATGACAGAGGAAACTAAGAGATGACATTCACCATATTTTATCAAAATCTTAATATTCCTCACTTGCCCTAAAGCAGGGGCGGAGCTAGATGGGGGACCAGGGGTGGCCATGGCAACCCTTAGCCAATCTTTGGCCACCCCTGTGGCCACCCATACCATTTTTCCCCCTCTAATACAGGTGGTGGCAGCAGTAATACTTTCAAGTGGAATATTCAAAACAATATTTTTTTTTTGTGGTTAAATATACAAATCAATATATTGACATCAATGATGATAAGTAGTACAGAATTCACGCTCTTTTCAGAACTTGATTTTGAGTTATATGGGGTAAAGAGAAAAATATGTGCCTCTGCAAGTCATCTAGCAGTCTTAAGTGAAATCAAAGATAAATAACAATTTTAATAAAAACGTATGAAATAATCAATTTGTGTAGATATAAGCGCTTGTAAATATAAATTGTATGCAGAATGATTATTGATACAAGTAGGTAAGTAATGACAATGGAAAAGATTTACTCCCCAGAACTCAAAACTGAGTTTTATCCACTATACCTTTTATCTAGATATTACGGATGTTTAAATATATGCGTCTATTTGTTAGCAAAGCTGTAGGAAAGTATAGTTAATCTTTATTTAGATATCTGGATGTTTTGCTCGTTAATTTTCCTGTTGCAATAGTGTAGATTGACAGTGAGGTTCTGCTGCCTATCCGCTTTCGGCCACTCCTCAGTGTATATTGGTTATTGCCTGGCCACCCTTATAAATAATTCCTGGCTACGCCTCTGCCCTAAAGTGAATAGCTCACATTTCCAAGGAAGAGCCTGGTCCTTGCCTCCTGAGACACCACGAATCTGTACCATCTGAGTACCACCTATAGTACCATAGACCTCCATTATTTGAATGTCAGCAGACAGCAAGAAGCCTCCCAGATCTCCAGATGCATTTGAGATATCAAAAAAGTACTCCAGAGTGTTGTTCAGCATGGGGGTGAGTAGAAAATGAAGGCTAAACATGTTTTGGGAGTACTATTCCTTTAATAATCAGTCAAATTCTCCTGTTTAGACAGAGGCTGCCAAAAGAATACACTCTGAGAGGCAACGTAGGTGTTCGTGTCTCAAAGTTCTATTTCCTAAATGTTCCTTCCTTCAAGGGAAGCACACGTTTCTTCATGTTCCCCCCCCCCCCGATGTTCTAATCTTCTGCAGGCGCACCACTATCAGATGAGCGCTGACATGCATTGCACGGTCAGATTACAGGTGGTCTCTTTCCCTCCGCACAGTATAGCGCAACATGGCACATCCATTGCGCATATGCGCAAACAGGCGCAAATGTGGCCCCAGCGGAAGAACGAGGCTCAACGCACAGCGAGTTTTCTGTGTTTTGGTTGGGGCGACCCTGTTTCTGTTCTTTCTTTGTATTTCCTATTTCTCATCACTGTCCTTCTTTCCTGGCGCATCACCTGACTGTTACCAAAGACCGCTGAGGCAGGAACAAACCATTTTCTGGACTTTCTGGGGCTGTTCAATTGATATTGATGTTTTCTTTTGGTCTAAGTGAGGAGAAATTGAACTTTACAAAAACAATAAAACAAAATAAAATGAATTCAGTTGTTATATTTAATACTTCCACACTGTATAAATATACATTTATTAATTTTATATCAATCTTGGTCTTATTTTATTTATTTATTTATTTATTTATTTATTATTTTAAGTTAAAAAGTAAAAAAAATAAATAAATAAAATTAAAAATAAAACATAAAAAAAAAAAGAAAAATCAATCTTGGTCTTAGACTCCGCCTTTTAATCCCGCCCCGCACCACTCTGTTCGATATGCTGTGACGTCACAACCCGGCCACGCCCTCCAAAGGGCGGTTCTGTTGGAACGTTACAGAATAGTGCTCATTCAGACCAGCCCTGGACATTCTGAGGTCAAGTCGCAGTTTTTTTCTGTGTTTAAGGATGGAGAATAAACTTTACACCGATCTGGCATGTGTAAGCCCTGGAAATCAAGACAAGGTAAACGCTCTGTTCTCTGTCTTGGTTTTCAGAAACATGATAAACTGCCCCAAAAGAGTTCAGAATGAAATCCCTCAAAGCTCTTTTGAGAAAATGAGAAATCGTCTCTCCAATCTGATAATGTGTACAAAAGAGCCTTGTGTGGATATGATTCTAAAGGCTAATCTATCAGACATGGTAACTGCAGTTTCTCAGGACTTGTATAGAATATTTGGCTCAACTAAACACTTGCTTCAGGCCGCCATAGACCGGAAACACACTTTTGATTCCTGTCTTATCAAAAGTCTGGAAAAAGACCTGGGACTCAAAAACACAAAACAAGTGAATGTGTTTGATTTTATCAACCCGATGAAGGAGCCTCCGAACCCCAACGTTGTTTTTCTGGCTTTACTAATTAGAAATGTTATAAACAGCTCCAAGACAGCGGGCAAGTCCCTCCCTTCAGGTGCTCTTCAAACTATAGTAGAACGTCTGTACCAGCTAATAACTTTCTGCCCCGATAAAACCAATTCTCACCCTCAGCCGCAGATCCAACAGCTGAAATTGGTTGTCAAAAGGATTTCCAAGGACATCTTTAATGAATATGGGAGTATTCTAAAATTTATGAACGCAGGCCTGAATTTAAACACATCATTTGATGTTTTATTACTGGATTATCTTAAAACCAGCTTAAAAATCAAAGAATCCCAAAAAAACAGGATAGTCTCTGCCATCGACAGCGCCTTGGACAGAATCTCCAGAGGTTTCCTTAACCTGAGTGCTCGGTGGCAGTGGGACTTCCTCCCAACCGTGGTTCAGAGAGAAAACACGACATTTGGGAACAACCAGGAAGTTGGTAACAAGACTTAAACTGCTTGCCTTGTCTCGCCTCCTCTCCCCTCTCCTCTCCTCTCCTCTCCCCCATCCCCTCTCCTCCAATGGGTTTTCTCCAGGTACGCTGGGTTTCCCCGCATAGTCAAAAAACAATTATTCCAATATTTTCATTTTACTTCATATGCTGAATATGTATTTCTTCTTCTCTCTCTGCTTGTTTTTGCCACTGTTGCACCCAAATTTCCTCAGTCTCATCATCTTATCAGCCCAGACACATAGGGCCTCTTGCAAGATGTACAAAAAAATGTTTTTAAATCATTTGCATGAGTTTTTTAGGAGAAAAAGGATACATTCACCATTTTCTAATCTCTCAGGAATAAACATTTACATAGTCCGTCAGACTGACGTAGGCAGGGCCGGTTCTAGCCCTTTGGTTGCCCTAGGCGAGATTGAGTTTTGCCAACCAAGGACTACATAAAAAAGTAATTGATAAACATTAAATTAAATTTTCTGTTCCAGTTCAATTAAATCATTTGAACATAAATAGAAATGTGATAAACAAAATTTTCCTCTAAATAAAATATATCAGGTATATTTACCCTGATTTCTGACATTGATTAGTGATTAAAGAAAGAATTAACCCTCTACAAACAAAAGTGCTTTTATGAATACCATTACAAAATTAAAAGTTTGAAGTTGTTGTTTTTTTTTTGTTCACATATTCTATGATGAACAGCCATAACTTCATATATTTTGATGATTATTTGTACATCCCTTTTGAATACTCAATGCAGATAATCACTACAAAATATTTTATTTATATTAGTATCTTCTACCCATTCTCAAGCTAATAATATAGCACATAATTCTGCTGCATATATACTGAGAAAAAAATGATGTCAACATTAGGGATGGGGATCGTTAATATTTATTGATATCGATACCTTTATCGATACTCCTTATCGATCCGAGTCTTTATCGATACCACTATCGATACTTTTCTGTTATTTGGTGGAAAGACGATGCAACAAAATTTTTTTAACAGAACTGGTATTGCTTCTATTGCTTAACAAGTGAGCATAACAAAAAGGTTTCTAGCCTTCAATAAACATGGCTAATGTAATAGGCCACTTGGAAATGACATAAAACTAACTAGAATATATTTTCACAATTGTTGGTTAATGTATTGTCTACTGTCACTTTTCATCATGTTTTTAGTGATTAGGAAAATATTTAAAAAATAAATAATTGTATTTTAAATTAAATGTAATTTTTAATAAATGTTGGCATCAGTAGTTTAATTATATATAGAGCAATATACAACTGTATTACTCATGTTTCTCGCCAAAAACAAAATTTCCCGTTTTCTTTACGTTACACTTGAATGCATCATGATAACCTAATTGTCGTTTTACTGAGCCAATCTGAACACATCATCACGCAGCACGTCTGAAACTTTATTTACTTTTCAAGCTAACTAGCTTGTATGCTTCCGATTACAACACGGATTTCACAATTAATATTTTTAACTGACCGGACAAGCTACAAAGTCTGTGTGTGCGCTTACCAGTGGTACTCTGAGTGGATGATTAAGACGGGCCCGACTGTGGCAGCCGCCGGAGGAGGAGGAGTCTTTTCCGTTCAGCCATTCTCGAGTCGCGAGCTAAGTTAAGTGTCAGAATTCACTTGTTTTACTTTTAATATCTGTTTGCTTACAATTTCATTCCAAAACATTGGTGGACATGCTGCAGTGATTGACGTCACGACTTCCAGGTTGGAGGGCGCTTGAAAAGTGATCAGAATCTTTTCCGATTTTCTCTTAAATGTGAAAAAATAAATAAAAAAACGGTGGTATATTTATTTGTTCATATTTTGCTATTTATATAT